CTCTTCTGTTGTCCCCCGCTGACAATGTGGAAGAGGGCCCCTACGAGCCCTGCTACCCAGAGGACAAACGGTAACACCAACGACCAACCAACCCTTCATCAAACGGAGAGGGATCAAAGCCATCCAATATCGATACACGCCTGACAGGAAGGTCACATCGCAACCACCGTGCGAGACACTTAGGGGCCCGCAGGTGCAGAATGTCTCCGCTGCGATGTCGACATCCGCCTAACTGCGCACCATCCCGGCACGCACGTAAACCGTTAGGCGATTCACCTGGGATAATAATGTACGAAGCAAGACACGACTCTTCTTCCCCTAGTGGAAAAATACCGATGCTCTTGCCGCCTGATCGATCTGCAAAGTAAATTAAACAGGAGAGGAGTCATTTCCGTAATTTGTAACAAATTGCACGGCACCGCTCTCTCTCTCTCCCCCTCGCACACACACCATATCGTCGATATGGTGTGCCGTCGATCATTACCTCCCTTAGTCGCCCAGCACAGCACGCAGCGCGCCATACGAAGGCCTTTTGGACGGCGCTTCTCACAAGACCACCTGTTTCTCACTGCATGTCTGCCCACGTGCCCATACTCATAGATCATCAGCGATAGCCCTGCCCATCGCATCCTTGCTAGCGACGCCCGCCACTCCACAAATTGCGAGGCAATGTGTGGTGCCCTGCCAGCGCTACCCTGCACCTATCACGACCTCCGAGCCCAGCCCCATCACCTCCCATCCGCACCCGCACCCGTCCCACACGCATACCTACCCACGCTGAAGGGTGCTCGCACAAGGGGACCTGGACCCCGCCCTACCTCGCCCAACAGCAGCCCTCGCATCTCTGAACTCACCCCCCAGTCGTTCACGAGGGTTACAGCAGGAAAAAACAATAAATCTTCTGCACATCGGGACCACACGGACGACAGACTTGGCGGCAGTGAGACAACTGCAACGGGAGACGCATACATGTGTTTTGGGGTGTGGGGAGACGCGCGTTGCTTGTGCAGGTACGGGCATCATCACAGCTTTCCTCATTCGCCTCCGCAAATCTTCTTCCACTCTTCTCTAATGCAGGCCCACCAGGTCCTCGTACCATGAATTGAAGTCGGGAAGCATGTGCCGCTGGCATTTCATTCATGACCATTCAACAGGAACACTCAAGACCAGCCCGGAATCCGATCGATCACCCATCCCAAGCCAATCGAATTCAATCCTCTCCGAGCCAGCAGCCAGAACCAACCAACCGGTTGGCCGCCGCAGAGCAGCAAGACTTCAAAGGTGAAGCACCTGACCCACCATGCGAATCCACATGACCACCTGCCTCTTGCCCCCACCGTGATCCACCTTGCACCTGTCCGAGCATCGCCCTCACCCTCGAAACGGCTTTCTTTAGCTCCCCCCCTACGTCCCTCCTAGGCACACATACATACGAACAGACCTGCGGGCTTCTTACCGTACCAACCCGCCCTCGACTCCTGTACCTCGGGGTACAACCAGACTCGCGCATGTCGGATACCAAGATTGGCCCCATCTCGGCCCTGGGCCTGCGCCCCCAAGCTCTCTTCGCTACCCTGCAAACAATGACGCCAATCAGAAATCCGTACTACGGGAGAGTGAGTCGACAGGGCCGCCGGCTTCCGGTGGAATGTCCCTCCGTTGCTGTGTTCGCTCAGCCAGTGCAGCAACACTACCAACGGACCGGAGTACCGTAGCGGAACAGAAATCATAACCGCTGCCGCTTCCACCTTCGACAGTAGTACTGCATCCAGGCGTTGAAACGCTAAGCCTGCACATCGCCAGGATGGGTGTATCGCCGCCACTAAAACTACATGACAAGCAGCCGCCTGTCAATTGAAACGCACCAAGCAGCAGCAGCAGCACCGGCAGAACTGACCAGAATCCGAGCTCATTCGGTACATCATCAGAGGACAATCCAAAAGCGCAATAACACGCAAAGCAGCAGCGAAAAAGGACAACAACAGCAGCAGCGGCTGTGTGTACGTACGTATGTACCAGGACTTCATCGCGCAGAAGCACCCAGAAGTACAGAGCATCGAACGTCCAGCGCCCCATGCCCTCCGGTATCTTACGTCACCTTCCTGCTCACTCCCTCCTTTCCCCACTCCCCTCCTTCCCTCACGTCGCCTGAAATGCTGAGCCAGGTAGTCATCACCTCCCGTCCAGCCTCTTGGAATATATTCCCCCGCACCACACCATTTTTTCTCCCACATCCTGGCGGAAAGATTGAAAAAGAAGAGATTATTGGCGCCAGCACGCAGCTGGCCGCCAAGAGACGCATACTCATACAGACACACCGTTGGGATGCTGTGAAGGGACTGTCGGCCGCGCCGTCCGGGAGCCACATACCCACCCCTGTGTTCGGCACAGCTCGGCAGCGACAGCCCGCAACCCCACGTGTGTATGAATGCAACCATGCCGTTAGGAATCAAAATCAGGTCGTCCGCTTGGTGTTGGTGGTTTTGCTTGCTGCCATGCATAACATGATGTATACGGATACATTATGCACACATACAAAGCCACAAATAATAAACTGGCACACGCTCTATGAGGCGCAGCAAGCAACTGAGCCACCAACAAGAACAGTATCCGCTGCTGCGATATGACCCTGGACTCCTCCATCCCCCCCTTTATCCTCCCCAAGGCTCTGCCGTTCACACGGGTGCAACGTTGAGACGTTGAGACCTTGTGCAAAGGGAGGTCTACTTCCGACCGGCTCCCAGGTCCATACCATCACATAACCCGCAACCACCGCAGTACAGCAAAGAACCAAATACAAGCCGCCATTCAGGCTTCCTCATCCCCCCCTCCTTGTGGCCGGCTATCCACAGCGCCTAAGCACATTCCGCCACGCCTAATGCAAAGCGCACCGACATGCCAGGTGCTTGCCCGTGCATGTGCGCGTGCCCGTGCGCCAGATCAGCCGGCTCAATGGGCATGGGCGTCGGGTCCAATCCCGAGGAGCCACCGCTGCCGCTTGCGCTCGGCACCGACGTGAAAGCGACGGCGCCGCCCTCTGACAATGACGACGACGACGGCGAAAGGGCAGCCACAACCACGGTTGCCGACGCCCCCATCGCGGCTGTGGCTGCGGCAGTAGCGGCCCCCTCCGCCGCCGCGCGCGCCTCTGCCTTTGTCACTGTGCCCAGCGCCGTCTCAAACGACGCGCCGTCGCGCACAAGCCCCTCCCTTCCATGCTTCACACTACCCTCACCCCGACCTGACAACGCTGAGCGCTGAACCACTCTGTCCCCTTCCAGAAGACCTGTAGGCTGTGTAGAAACTCCCTCTACCACCGTCGCCAGCCTCTGGCCGCCACCCAACCCGTGGTGCTGATGGTGCTGCTGATGATGGTGGTGCTGCTGCTGCTGCTGAAATGAGGGAGAAGCAGCAGCAGGAAGAACATCAAGGGCATGCTGACAAGTCACCGCCCCTGAGGTCGGAGGACCGGTGGTGGTGGCAGAGCCGCCGCCGCCACCACCACTGCCGCCGGCGGCGACAGCGGTCTCCCGCACGCGGCGCCGTCTCTCCGCCGGCACGTAGGGCGCTTTCATGCGCCCCTCCCGCAACGCCCCCCAGTCGAAGCCACTGAACCAGGGATGTCGCATGACGGAAGTGGCGCTCTGGGGCCGGGCAGTGGGTTTCACTGCCAACATCCGATTGAGCAAGTCCTAGTAATGGGAGGGGAAAAGGGAAGTCTTAGGGTGCAGAAAACCCAAATAATCGACTGCCAAGCGTCCGAATGGTGAAGGGGGCCACATCCATGGGCACATAAAGCTAAGTGACGGTGGCTCGCAGGGGGCTTAGCAGCACCACACGCCTGAGAGCTGGGAGGTGGCTGTGGCATGGGCCATTGGCATCGCGGGTAAGCATTTACGTGCGAAGTGAAACTCAATATATCAGCTATGATTTTGCTTTCAAGCCGAGCGTGGCAGCTGCACCCAGAGCTAGCCCCCTCCCCGACACGTTCAATAATCGACGTCACCACGAATATTCGATGCCGCACACAAGACACTCACCGATACATGCATTTAAATGAGGATGTGACGGAAGCAGAACTTCCGTTTCCCAAGGCCGCCCAAATCCGCACACACCGAATGCCCGTGAACGTATTCACGCACATGCAAGCAAAGTCGCTGCCACTGCCCTATCACCGTCCCCATCACCGACAGCCCTCCGCGGCGGTTGCAATGACCGCGGCGGTGAGGTAAACCCTAACGAGGAACGAGGTAGATGACCACGGCCCATTAGGAGAACATCTCCCTAGCAGGGCCCCCTCCCCCCTTTACAGCTGTGCTGCTCGCACCTGCAGGTGGTGGCTAAAGCGCGGATGGGCGGGCGGTCTCCAGCCCTTTTTGAGCACTTCCTCCGAACGGTCCGTCACGACGTGTCCCGTCAGGATCTGCGGCAGGAAGCAGCGAACAGCAGCACGTCAAGGACCAAGAGAGAGGAGGGGGGAATAGCGGTAGACAGAGAGACCCCGTAGAGAAAAGAGCCAGGGCTGGATGAGAACCGAGGAGGACTGGATGGTTGCGTCGGTGCTGAAGGTGGTTGGTTATCGGGAGCTCTTGGTTGGCGCAAAGCGGAATCTCAATGACGGGAAGGCCCTTGAAGGTTCAACTGCAGCCCTACGAATACACGCTCCCCTAACGAGACAATACATGTACATGTACATGCATACACACATATACAAGGCGCCAGTGGTGGACAAAAAAGCGAGTCGTAGAGTATCGAAACTGGGCTATGACGCCGGCACACATACTGGTGTCGCCTTCTATGGCTGTTGATGCAAGCGGCGAAACTGATCCTGTGGAAACAGCGGAAACAACTACACCGACAGCAGCATGGACAAACCTCCCACCACCACCACCACCACCACCACCACCACCACCACGAACAGCAACATTCCTCGGCGTGTCCCGCAACCTTCCGAACATCACCCCCTCAACCCGCCTCCTCACACATAGGCCACGTACCTGGTACAGAGTTGCCCCCGCACTCCAAATGTCCGCTGGCACACCGTAGCACATGCGGCTCTTTGACGTGCCGTACGCGTACACCTCGGGCGCGATGTAACCTGCCGTACCGCAGCACCCCACCGTATGTCCGTTCGCATCCAGGGCCACCGTGAAGCCCAGGTCCGCCAGTTTGGCCGTACCGTCGCTAGTGAGCAACAAATTGGATGGCTTGATCTGCACATAACCATATGGGTGCGACAAGGATGCAAGGGGTTTCCGAATTTCCAAAAGTGTTCGTGTAACAAGAAGCTAATAACACCCACTGCGCGAGAAGGACAAAAGGAAAGGGTGATGGCAGTAGGTGGAGTGCATTCTGCACTTGAACGTGTTGTGGTCGGACTGAACATGACAACGCGCCTCCGGGGAAACGCGGTCACCCCGCGCAAACCCCATACAACCAAAGCCCAAAACCAACTTGGCCCTTCCACAGCGCTTGCCTCTTCTCGTCGCCATCGGCACAACCTCAGCCCTGCAGGATGCCCCTCATCCCTCCATCCCGCCTCTCCCTCCTACTCATCACCCTGGACGAGGTGACTATCTGCTTTGGACGTGGCCAGCTGACCATTTAATTCTTTGCGTGGCTCCTCCCCCCTTTTATGCCTCACGTCTCTGTGCAGCAAGCCATTGCCATGTAGGAACTCAAGCGCCAGCAGCAAGCAGCCCATGTAGTAGCGGGCTGAGGCCTCAGACATGAGCAGTCGCTGCTTGTCCATGCCGCGTCGGTCCTTCAGAGACTGTCAAGAAAGCGACGCGTGTGGGACATGCCAGGGCGAGTCAGGAGGAAGGTCAACGGCGCACCTATACCTCACTATCGCACGCCCACACGTGTTGTATTTATTAATATATTTAAAATATTATTTGATGACAACTGACTTTTAGTAGTAGATTTCCCCGCCTGCTCTTCATGCACGTAACGTTGGTTTAAAGGGGCAAGCCCTGTGCCTGGCCCAGCCCAGCCTATTCAACACATACGACCGAGGACCCACGGGTCACTGTTCGTTTCCGGCTGCCTCACCGCCAACATGACCCCCAAGTCGCCTCCCTCCGCCCACTCCATGACGTAGCTGCAGTGCTCCGTGCCATCATCCACGAAGCCAAACAGCCTAACGATGAACGGGCACTGCTGACACCGGTGCAGCTGCATCAGCTCCCTCTCCTGGTTCCAACCCAAAGGCACACGCTTCACCGCCACTATGAGCTCCGGATCACTGACGGAGGAGCTGTCCTGGACGTTGGCGTCGGCCGCTGAGGAAATGTCGACAGCGGCGGCTGGGGCGGCGACGGCCGCCTCAAGGCCCCCATCCCGTCCTGCCGAAGCCACCGTTGCCATGGATACATCCACCGCTGACCCTGAGCCATGCCCGCTGACGCTGGCTGGTCCAGACGCATCACCCGAAACCGATGGGCGTGCCAAACAATCCGACCCAGATGCCGTCGTTGGCTCCAGGCCAGACGTCGGTCCCTCCGCCTCTCCAGCAGGCCCCGTAGCTGCAGCAGCAGAGAAGCTGCTCGCCGACCTAGCCGGTCTGGCAGCACCGGCTTGCGACAGCGGCGCTTGCGTTCCGCCGGCAGATGCCACTGCCGGCGTTGCGCCTGCCGTGGAAGGGCCCGCGGACTGGGGTCGGGTCTTGCCAATGGGGAGCTTGGCTGGGATGCGGCAGAGGTTCACGGAGCCGTATGCGCCCTCGCCGAGTGCCACCAGGGGCTGAATGTCAGTCTGGTCCAGTCTGTCAAAGCGCTCCTGGTCCTGTGGTCGTTGTGGTTGGGGAAATAACAGACGAGTACGGAGATAGGAAAGAGCAGGAGAACGCAAGTTGGGAAAGATGACGCAGGAGTGGAATGGACCAGTAGTCAATGAGGTTAGGTAAACCCGTGCAAAGTTGTTGGAAGTGGCTCCGCCTCCACTTCCAAGGGGCTAGCGGAAGCCAGAGGGATGCGCCGCGGAACGTAACCCAGATCGTATCTGTTTTAGAATGCAGCCAACATCATCGCCATCGTCATGTTTCATCAAGGTCATAAACTGGTGTACACGTCCAGACTATAAGAGCATTTGAACCGACGATGGCGATGATATATTACGGACAACACGCGATTTGGGGTTGACTGGCAGAGACAGCACAACAGAAAGACGCCACATGCAAGTACGCAAACCCCGTATCCAGGGCAAAGCACCGAGGTACGGTTGCAGGTACGGCAGAGCACAGGAGGAGCTGCTTTTGCGTGCGTGCGCATCCGTAACGAGTGAAACAACTGCTAGGAAGTAACGAATCATTGTCCTGGTGCCGATGTCCGACAGAAGTGGAGTGGACGTACTATATTGGGAGGTTAGGAGTTAGCGGCGACTTCGCTTGCCGCAGATGGGACGGTTGTGACGGACTCCTAAGATAAACTTCGCTGAAGGATGGTACTAGATGGTATAATGCAAGCGTTTAAGTCGTGCGCTTACTGAATCCAAATGCGCGCACAAGACAAGTGTGCGAAGCACGTTGAGCATAGGGCTGTCCAATTGCTGGCAGCGGTGCACGAAAAATTGTACGTGAAGTACTGCACACCTCTATGGACCCAGTTGCACAGAACCATTAGGTGCTGAATACTGCTGATTGGCAACGTCTTTCCAAGTGCGACAACGGGGGAGGGGAAGCGCACGAAGCGAATCTGGAATCCAGTCCGCGCGCGGTAGAGGGCTGTTGTACCTGCGGTGTAGCGGGCCTCCAATGCTTCCTTGACCAGTCATCAACGAGGAACTTGACTGCTTCGAGGTCAGTTAGAGCACTACAGGTCCGTTCTGTTGCATACCAAAGGATAGAGGGACATAGGCGGTCGCGGCGCAGCATCACAGTGAGCTGCCGCCATGTTGCGGACAACGCAGAAGAAAACGAATAAGAAGTCCGTTCATCCCACGTGGCACCTCGTCGGCAGCATAGGTACTTAGTTCACCCGGATAGGAGACAGGATTATGATAATTTTTTGGCCTTCGGGCCTGCTTGCAGGGGGGCACACAAACGCCGCTTCCTACTACGGTATGCAACATCTCGCATTTGTACCACTATGAGAACAAGATTCCAACAGAAATAACTCAACAAGTCAAAGACAAAAAGGGTTTGGTAACAGAAGCTCGAAGGGAACTCGACATCAAACAGTCGTGCCAGCGCAAACGCCTTCTACGCCTCTCACCCATAACTGGCTCCATAGCTGCTCGAGGCATGCCAGTTCCGTCAGCACTTGTTGCTGATAATGGTGGTGTGTACTGTTTCTTGGGTGAATTCAGTGATGACCTGGACTTTGTCGAAAGCCTCTTCCAAGAATAGCTGGAAAACTTGCTACCGCCATGCGCTGTGTCGTTTGGAGTTGTGCTACCCCCTGAGCCGCCAAGTTCATCATCGTCTCCGTCGCCGCGGGCCATTCCCTTCAAAGAGTTGCCTGATATGCACCGAACGAAGAACGCCATAGCTGACCAGGCCTCCCCAGTGGGGAGGCCAAATACTTAGCTACCTGTCAGCATCAAAGAAATCCTAAGGACTTTGACAAACCAGCAGAAGACGGTCCAGACTGACACAATGGAACAAGCAATATATAGGAATATGCCGTTACAAAAAGGTAAAGATTTAAAAAGCCTCAAAAGCGAATCGTGGAAAGTGATTAGAGCTATGGGCAGAGATCTTTGCAGGTACACGTTGAAGGCTTTCGTTGTCCAAACGACCATGCCGTACTTTAGTATCCCTTTTGGAATCAACGTCGCCATGCGAAGGCAGGCAGAAACTGGATTATGGCGTCGATTTGTACACCTGGTCGTATGCCAACTATGCACCTAGATATTTGCAGTCCCCTCGGCCATAAAATGGAAGCACGAAACCAGGGCTAACCTCATGTATACTCTATCCTTCCATATGCGTAGAAAGGACAAACCTGTCACTGTATTCGGATAGAACGGTAAGGATGACAAAGGGAAGCTGTGTGCAACTAGGCAGCCGCAGCATGGAAGGCAAGCATCACGTGAGGGAATTATGCCAGAATCCGCCGTGGAAGTAAGGGAGCATTACTCTTATTAGATCGTCGCTCCGGGTTACTGCATAGCTTTTGCATGTGGGTTTTTTTATGAGGTTGCAGGAGATATGCAGGTCATATCAACGCACCTGTGGGATGCCGTCTGTGAAGAAGGAGGTCTCAATTTAGTCTCACGTGACATGTGACATGTTTCAAGACGACTTTTCAAACTTACGTGTCGACAGAAAGCAGCATACTGCAGGGCTACCCCTATCAGCATCCAGGATAATGAAGTAGACACATCACGGTCAAAATTGCACCGAACGGTATGACCTTAAAAGGAGGATGAGGTCACCGACAGGATGGCTCCCTTTTGCCGGCTGAGTTTTGAAAAGGGTTTTCGCGATACTCACTAAACTTGACACCTGCTGGACCTCTGCGTCATGCCGTGCTAGGATAAAATAGGGCCACAGGAGACAAAACCAGCCGCAAACGCAATCAGTCCAGAACGAGTTTCAGTTCAGGCCGGGGAAGAGACAAGAGAGGCTCCAGGAATAGCGGAGCGATGGGCTAACCGCCTTCGGCAGCCCCAGGCAAGATCGAGGTCGGGTATTTTGGTGAGCCTTGCTACCAGTGGGCAGTATTGACAGGCCCCGGAGTTCATCTTCCTTTCATAACCTCCAGGCTGAAGGCCCGCACACCTTCGCACGTGAAGTGTTCCACATGTGCATTAAGTATTCTACACAAATTCTACACGTCTGGTTCGTGGCTGTGCTGGCTGAAAGGTCTCGAGGGGGTGGAATCGTGTCTGGCTGAGCTACAGGTGGCATGTGTTAAGATCCCCCACATGGGCTGCATAGTTACAATATGTACATTTCCAGGAGGTATCAATCCCCATACTCCATCCCCTGTCTTTGCACAGGTGCTAATATTCATGTGACCGACTACTGAACCAGTTGACACATTCGGTGCACTGAAAACGATGTGAAAAATCCGGAGCTGCATCCAGTCTGTGGCTGACCTTTCGCCGCCTGGGTGCCGCTGCCAGGGCATTCATGGACGTTGTGAACTGGCTAATGTGGCACGGTGTATAGAAGTGCCAGAACGTTAAAAGTGTGTATCAAAAGGTGCTCTTCTACGACTTCTACGCAGCAAGCACTTGGTCCCGCTGTGATATCATCGTAAAGGATGGATGACGGCCAGGGTCCACATGTGATTAGCCTTCAGTAGGGTGATCAGTCTGCTAAGCAAGGCGAGGAGGGGATAGCAACTGAAAGGAACACACCTCCTTCAGGTGCGGACACTACAATTTATCTACTGTCCGGTGTACGGCGAATCAGATCTGATATGGATTCCCACGCTTTGGGCGTATGAAGGACACTATGAAGTGGAAACCTGAATGTCTGGCGAAGATGCTGGAACGTATATGGTCCCACCGCAACTCTATCATTCCCTTTGGTCGTTCGTATCCTTTATCACTTGCTTTGTCTGAAGTGCGAGGTAGGATGGTGCTTATAGGCGATCTGGTAGCCCTTGAGCCCTCGGCTCGTACTTGGGCGGTTTGCAGGTACGGGGTACGCACCTCCGCGACCATGTAGCACACACACACACACAACCTTAATGACCAGTTTTACACTTCATTAAACGAGAGCAACCTCGGTCGCTTTGTAAATGGAGACTTCTGCAACAT